CTGCGAGAGAAAAGACCGGGCAATCTACTCCCGTAAAGATCAAAACCCAAGAAACCCCATGGGGCAGTTCTACTCTATCATATAGAGTTGCTATGGGTCAGAATTGACTCAATGGCACCTGACTACAAGCATGTACGGCATTTCAATCCCTTCTGTGCATGTTAATTTGTGTCTATCTTTTGTATCCCTTTTGTCCTTAACAGCAATAACCACAAAATCAATGGCTAAATTTGGTAAGAAGTAAAGATGCTTACTAGATTCATCAGATAAGCAAAGGTTGCAACACAGAATTGAAATATAAAAGTTAGCTCATAGACCCAAATTATTTCTTCTTATAAAGTATGCCTGACTTTAAGCAAAGGATGGGTTTCCAAAATTTATATATTACATGTTTTTATAATATAATAATATTTTGTATATTACATGTTTTCCTTTATATAAATGTAGCTTACTGTTCTAAAAAAAAGTTGGCTATTTAGTGGAGGCCTACAAAACCTAAGAGCAGAGTTCTATGGTTCATGAGAATTTGAGACCCTAATTTATCTGTTTGATGAACCTCTGTTCTGTTCAAGTTGTCTGAAAGCAAAGGTACATCCATGCCATAATAATTTGATAATAACTATTTCCTGTTACTAAGATGCCTTACTGAGCACAACAAGGATGTGCCACAGCCACATCTATGGGACACCAAGCCAACCAGTCAACTCAAAGACCAGTCAAGCCAGCCTTTTGTTATGATGTAGATCTTTCCCTAATACAAACAACAACAATAAAAAACAACTGTTCAATTTACTCCCTTTCTAGTAAGTGGTGTTGAGTTTATTATTCTTAGTTGTATCACTTTTAAGGAAGAAGTCATTCAAATCATATTTTGACATTGTATGAATCATTTAATCAATTAATTTTTATTTTTTAGTTTATTTTATTTGGGAGCTTTGTTGGTGTATTGCCTAAGGCATTTGACTGCCAACCGGAAGGCTGGCAGTTCAAACCCACAAGCCACTCCTTGGAAGGAAGGTTGGCCAATCTACTTCCGTAGAGATACCATCTCAGAAACCCAAGGAGGGGTCGCTTTGAGTCAGGATCAACTCGACAAGATTTATTTATGATTGCAGTTATTATCAACCAACTCCAAGATACTGAGTAACTTAAGGAAATAAATGTCTTAAGTACTACCCAAATCATATTAGGCCAGAGTTTGGCTAACTGAAGGAACTGATAGTAAATATTTTAGGTTTTGCTGATCATTCAATCTCTGTTGTATCTACTCAACTCTGCTGTTGTAGCAAAATATGTAAATGAAAAGAAGTGACTGTGTTCCAACAAAACTTTATTTACAAAAACAGACAGTGGCAGTGGGTCAGATGTGGCCCACAGGCTATAGTTTGCAGATCCTTAGAAAACTGCAAGAGTCTATCACCCAAGAATATTTGAATGTGCCTTTTTAACTAGCATAATGGAAGTGTGGGAAAGGATATACAGGAGGGAACATGGCATAAACCTGATCACTCAAGATGAGTCCACGAGAGACGCCACAGAGGGAAGACGCTCACCACCACTACTAAGTGTTATCAGAAAACTCAATCACACTTTATGTACATTCTCTACTTTAGGTCTGACAAAAACCTTGTGTGGTAGGCATTAAAATCCTTGTTTCCCAGATTTTTAGGAAGATGAAAAAGTTAAATGACTAAACTGTAGGGCCTACTTTCAAACTGAGACCTGTCACACTGCAATGCCCAAGCTGTTTGTACTGCACTGCTACTAGCTGGCCTTCACAAAGGCTTCCTCTTTCGGGGTGAATGATAGTTTTTCACATCTACACAGGACCTGAAGGACTAAGGGTGATGATCTGAAGGTGGAGTGACTTCTTTCTCCAACTGGCCAGTCAAGCAAGTCTCTACTGCATCCGTAGTTGGAGCTTAAAGATTTCTACTTCTGTGTGACAGCAGTTCTGAGCTCTGTCACACTAATCTCTTAACCAAGGCCCCTGTTCACATTTCTTCACAAACAGGGGTCATGGGCCAGGTAGGGAGGAGGCAACAGATTTACAAAGTGAATGTTTACTTAACCCTTTCCAGAACCCCAGAGTACAGTCATTTCAACTCATGCCTCGAGGGTGTTTTCTGAAAAAAGAAAGTGCTTTTTCAGCACTCTTGATGTCTGATTTCAAACTTTGCCCTTCCATCAGGTGATTCTAAGTGAGCTGACGATGCTGCCCCGTTCTTACTGGTTTTCCCACAGGGTTTAGTCACCCAGGTGCCCTCAGTGACACACTTGGGTCTTGGGTAAGGGGATGGGTCCCATATACTGGGGCCTTCCCTAATCTCCTTTCAGACTCCATAGAGAATTTTGATTCATTTTAATTAATTTTGATTCATCTTAAGATGTAGAAATGTTGACCCCAGTTATTCCATTGTGGTCTCTCTGACTGAGGGAGTTTTGCTGCATCTGACTGACCTCCTGCTATGAGCAGGAAGCATGCCCTCCAACATCCCATTTAGGGGACACTGAGCTTCTGTTAGGGGTGATGGTTTAATTTGGGGACAGATAAGGGTGATGATTGAACAACATGATGAATATAGTTAATGTCACTGAACCATATCTATGAAGATTGTTGAAATGTCAAATATTTTGTTACACATATATTTACCACAATTAAAAAAAAAAAAAAATTAAAGAAACTTCCAAACAGAAAAAAACTAATCTACAGTGACAAAAAGTAGTTCCGTGGTTAACTGAGGCCAGGCGTGGGGATTGGGGTTGATTGGGAAGAGGTATAAGAGAACTTTTTGCTGTGACAGAAATGTTTTATATCTTGACTGTGATGGTGGCTATGTGGATGTTTATATTTTTCAAAGCTTATCAAACTACATACTTAAAATAAATGCATTTTATTGTACATAAATGATATCTTCATAAAGTTAATTTAAAAAAAAAAAAAACTTTGTTAATCTCTTAGGAGAGATTAAAGAAAACAAAAAGAGTAGTGGATCACTAATAGAATCTGACAGCTTGTGAATACAAGGAAGCAACCCAGCTCTCCCACACTGAAAGCAGGACCAGAGCACTCAACATCGTTTCTATGGCATGTCAGCCTACTACAGCTAACTCTGCAGAATAGGTATTACTTTTACTCCTATTTTACATATGAGAAACCTGAGGATTAAAAAAGTTTCCTTAGGTGACCACCAGCCAAAAGGTTCGCAGTTTGAACTCACCATGGGAAACAGACTTGGCAATCTGCTCTGAAAGGTCACAGCCCTGCAAACCCTATGGATCCATTCTACTCTGCACACACAGGATCACCGTGAGTCCGAATTTATTTGACAGCAACTAACAGCAACAACAAGTATTTTTAAAAGGGTAAGTGCTTGCTAACACTTGCTCAGCTCCTTAGCCAAAGGAAAACTCCCTCCAAGGGTTCACACAAAACCTAAATGGTTCAGCTCTAAGCATAAGCAAATAGGGATGCTCAACAGCTTCAGAAATTCAAAGACATGAATGCCGCCTGTTCTGCTCCACTAGAGTTGGTTAACGCAGCACTTAACTGCTAACCAAAAGGCGGGAGGTTTGAATTCACTCCAAAGCACCTCAAAAGAAAGGCATGGTGATCCACTTCTGAAAAAAATAGCCATTGAAAATCCTATAGAGCAGAGTTCTACTCTGCCACATCTGTTTTGCCCAGAGATGGAGTTGATTCTATGGCAACTGGTCTGGCGCTCCTGCACATAGCACACCCACTGGGTTGGCTGCCATTGCCCCTGGTTAGGGTTTTGCCCCATCCTTCTTATGTGTGGTAGCAGTTACACAGCACAGAGACAAGACTATCCTGTATTATCTGCAAGGATTTCATAATTAATCAAATCATGATGAGATTTCACAAGCTAAGAAATTTTGAAATCATGTCTCCATATTACACATTAGCAAGCTCAATTCCAGAGAATTTACACAAGAAATAGAAGGAACAACTAATTGATGAAGTTATCTTTACAGAACTTAAAGGATGGAAAATCTTTTTGTAAAAAAATATACAAACACTCCCTGATTTATCTGAATTTCCTTACAGTAAGTTTGCTTGAGGGTGTGCATGAATTAAAAGGAATTTTTAAAGAACTAAGTACATTTAAAAGGAAGATAATGCAAATTTGGGGTGGTATTTCTTTACTTAGGAAACACAGGACTGAGTACCACTAAAATTAACTCTCATGAGGCCACTGAGTTGACTTTTGAATGTTGGAAAAGGAATTTTGTAGATAAAATGTATGATTCCAATTATTAATAACATGGATCTTGCTAGATTTCTGTTTGTTCCCACATAAAGGACAACAAAGTTCACGATGTTGCATCCAACTCTAAGGATAAAAGTCAAGGTTAAAGGGAAACCCACTGTCCCATTGCACTGAGACAAACAATCCTTTACACAGAATGGGAATAAGAATGACAAAGAGGCGAGATGGTGAAGCAAGTGAAAACACGCTTCACAAAACCAAGTTTCCACATTGTCCCCATATGTTCACAGAAACAACTCACACCTTCGGCAGAAAGCTAAATAACTCCACTAGAAACGGGCCCACAGAATTAAACAACAGGCTGCAGAGTAGCTGCTTATAAAAATAAAGCCACTCGTGTAAAGAGCTCCATAACTTTCCCCTCCCAAACCTCAACCCAATATCACAGTTGGCTTTTGTTTTGTGAATCATACACTGCCCTCTCTTCACCACAGTGATTCACACAGAAGCAGAGACACAATGAGCTGTCCCACCTTGGAACACTAGTTCGTTCCCTCCCTCCCCCCACCCCCAGCCTGGAAAATGAGCATCACCTCTGACAGGCTGGTTTCTCCACAGGCTCCATCTCACCCACCTCATCCCTCCCCACCCCCTGGCATGGAACCCACAGCTCTCTTTGCCCCACTAACTACCACCAAGCTGATAGATGAACTCCCTGCCCTCACCCGTGTTCACTTGGCTCTGAGCAGCCACGGCCACACCACTTACGTTTTTGCCAGAGCATGGTCTGTGACAGGATGTTGCCTTTTCTCTTTGAAGAAGACAGCTTGGCTTCTTTAATGTGAGACCTGGGTGTGCTTTCCTCCAGTGTAGCCACTGCTTGCTCAAAGGATGTTTCCTCGGCTTTTTAAAAGCCCAAGTTCCCGCTGTGTGGGGGTACAGCGTCATCACATCCTCCCACCGCAGGCACGAGTGTTCTTGCTCTTCAGCGACTGTGCCCGTCACCCCACTGTGCGCACCCTCAGAGCTCACCGGCTGCAGACCACTTCATGCGGAGCCAGCCAGCTGGGTTTGAACAACAACATGGCATAGAAGGCCATGACCATTTGGATGTGGTCACAGAGTGTGGTGTGATACGCGTACGTATGAAAGTGGGCATGGAAGTGAACTGTGTGAGTATGTATGTCCCATCTTGTACCTTCTCACACCAAGATAAACCCAAAATACCCCTTGGAAAATGCTGGGTTTTCTGTGGTGCCTGTTCAGGCTTCCACATCAGCAGGGTGTTAGTAGGGCTTGGCTCACCATGGGCTCCTGCTTAACGGAAAACATGATTCCCAAGGGTCACTGCTTCTCAACACAGGAGGAAGCACCTGTAGTCTCTTCAAGCCTCACTAAACAACCTCCTCACTCTTTTAATACTGCATTGCTTGTCTGTTTATTTCATTTTGAAACACAATAGCCTCCCCCTTACCACCAGCCACCACCAAAACGGCCAGCCTTGATCATACTTAAATATGGGGACACTGATTCTGATGGTTGATACCTACAGAAAGAGGTCACCTCTCTCAGGGGAGAAAGGAGAAGATGCCATGCTTTTTAACTACAGCTGTTTGCTCAAAGAGGACATGCAGGAACAGTATAATGAGTGTGATATAAGAAGTGTCCACCCACCTATTAACATGAAACTTCTGAAAGGAAACTTAATGTAATGGATCCACCACTTGGTGGTATATGGGGTGTTAGGCCACAGGACTTCTTTCTAGGTTGAAAACCTTTCACCACTGTGTATCCAAAGTCTTCATGTGAAAACCTCAATGACACAATCAGTTTGGGGTCCACACTATCTAGAGCAGGTCCAGGGCCTTGCTGCTCTGACCTCTATTCTACCTCAGAGCAATCTTGTACAACCTGGATCTGATCATGCCATTCCCTACTGAAAAAGCCTTTACTCTCTCTCCTTCAGCCACAGAGCTGGAGGCACGTAAGTTCCTCATGATCTAGCCCTTGCATACCTTCCCAGACTCATCTCTCCCACTCAGCCTTCTACCACCTACTCAATGTCTTCTCAACAACCTTCAACATCCATGCTCTTCTTTGGCTTTGATCTTGCTGTTCTCTTGCTGGGTTCCTCTTCCCTATGTCCTCACCTAGACATTATCTCTTCATGTTTCAAATGCCACCCTTTTAGTGAAAAAATTTCTGACCTCAGAGAAGATTAGTTCATTTTTTCTCAACTCCCAGAGCATTTCTGTTCAATATTTTAGGAAGCTGTTGCATGACTGTGTAGGCTCCTCAGATGGTTTCAGCTTTGCTTCCTCAGTGCCTCACAGAGAACCTGGAGCCTAATTGGCCCTCAATAAAAACTCATTTAATGAACTAATGAATTTTTGTCTCTAATGGGTTGTTGGTTTGAGCACAGGTCTTGAGAAGAAATGTCTGCATAAAGGACTCACTCAAAAGACTGAGAAGGCTGTCTCGGAGCTGAGTTATAAGACATTGAGACATAGAAGGCACAGTGTTGTCAGTGGCTACCAGCACCATGGCCTTGTATGTACTTTGTCACACACAAGGCCTTGGGCTACACTGAGAAGTTTCCATTGGAAACAGTAGCACATCCACCAGGCCTTGCTCAGTCACAGGAGACATGGGCTCCCAGAAAGGCTTTACCACTTACTGACTACAGCCCCTTAACAAGTCACATGATTACTCTGACTCTCAGTTCCCTTGTTTATAAAATGAAGAAGCAGTTCTCTGAATGTCTGACAGAGTTCTGAGGAGGATATGTAACCTCCTTAATCCTCTCTCACATTGCTCTGTATTATGGTTATCTATTGTATTCTCTCTAAGTTCCATGAAATTAATACCTTTTTCTTACTCATCTTTGTCTCTCCCCACTGACCTAACATAATGATTTCCATGAAATAATAATAACTACTTAGTCTGCACCAAGAACCATGTTAAACCTTTCTAGATATTATTTAATTTAGCCACCACAGCACTCTAAGGAAACTTCTGTCTATAACTTCCAGAGAAACGAATGCTTAGGAAGTTCAATTTGCCCCATGTCAAAGGGCTATGAGGGGATAGACCGGGCTTCAGATTCAAATTCTTCTAACTAGAACCTGAGCGCTAAATAATTACACTAATAGACATTCATTAAGTTGAAATCAGTAAAAGCCAAGTGGCAACCATATTTATTAGCAGGACTATAGACTCTGGTGGGAGCTCTGGTAGCATAGTGGTTAAGGCACTTGACTGCTAACCAGAAGGCTGGCAGTTCAAACCCTCCAGCCACTCCTCGGAAGGAAGATGGGGCAATCTACTTCTGTAGTGATATTGCCTCAGAAACCCAAGGAGGGATCGCTATGAGTCGGGTTCGACTAGATGGCATATAACAGCAACAACAATAGACTCTAGCAGCACAGTGCCTAAGGCACTTGACTGATAACCAGAAGGCTTGCGGTTCAAACCCACCAGCCACTCCTTGGAAGAAAGATGGGGCAATCTACTTCTATAGTCATACTACCTCGGAAACACAAGGAAGGGTCACTATGAGTCAGGTCCAACTCAACGGTACATAACAACAACAACATAGAATCATTGTTATTAGAACCTGCAGCAGATCAAGAGAAACTTCCCCATTTCCCTACCTAAATATCATCTTTTCTTTTTTCAAGATCCAGTTCAAATGGCATCTTTGGTGAAAAAATTTCTGACCCACCAAACCTCTCCTAGCCCAGAGAAAATTAATCCCTTTTTTCTCAGTTCCTTTGTTATCCTGGGATAAACCCCTATACTCTGAAATGAGGGAAGGAAGAAGAGAAACCCAGAAGTGCTGTAACAAATCATAAATTTTACAGTGGCAGAGAAAAATAAATTCAGCAGACAAGCCCACCATCATAGCCAGGTATAAAATCTGCCACCTGTGATAGCCTCAACATTCAAAAACCCAGTGTTTCCAGCAAAGACCACAGATATTGTTGACCACTTAGGTATTTAAAAACCATGACTCAATCAAAATGGCAAATATTTGCCAGTTAGACATTTTCTATGACTCAGTATAAAAAGTCAATCTACATGGCAGAGTTCAAAACAGACACGGTGGTCACGTCTATGCAATACCTCAAGAAAAAGAAAAGAAAAAAAAGTCTGTCAACACTGTCCAGATGTCTCTAAATACATGTATGCTCCCATATTTTAATAATCTGATAAACCAAAATAAAAACCCCTAAAATAATTAAAGAGCACTGATTCATATTGCAAAAGGACTCAGCTTTACCAAAATGATTCACCACAGACTTCATTTTTTTCCTTCATTCAACAAATATTTATTGAGTGCTCATTATGTTTCATTGCTGCTGCTATTGTTGTTAGGTGCTGTCGAGTTGTCTCTACTCATAGTGACCCTATGAACAGCAGAACAAAACACAGCCCACTCCTGTGCCAACCTCATGATCCTTGCTATACCTGAGCCCATAATTGCAGCCACTGTGTCTATCCATCTCCTTAAAGACCTTCCCCTTCTTTGTTGACTATCCACTTTACCAAGCATGATATCCTTCTCCTGGGAATGGTTCCTTCTGACAACATGACCAAAGTAAGTGAGACGAAGTCT